AGTCTGCGACTCCGTGTTTATGTTATTATTATTCTGTGGTTTTGGTTATTTTGGGGTTCTTGTACATTCCCTGTTCACGTTTCATGTTCCTATGTTCTGTGTTCCCCAGTCTGTGTGTTATGTCATTGCGTGCATGTGTTTCCTGTTTTATTGTGAAGGTCTGCGTCTTACGTGAGTGTTTTCAGTTTGCCTCCCTAGTCTCGTCACGTTAATCCCTCCCACCTGTGTGTAATCTCCCTGTGTTCTCTGAGTGTATTTTAGTCGTGTCTTCTGTCTTAGTAGTTGCTGGTTCGTCTGTGTTATTCTCCTCCATTTTCCTGTGTATTCTGGCTGCATTACTCTCCCTGCATCTCCGTTTCAGGTTTGTTTTTGCTTAGCTTTTCCCGGTGTAGTTTACTCTTAGGTTTTGGTTTTTGTCCACCTCATCTCCGTTTGTGTCACCCTTTGGTTAATAAACCTCGCTCACCACTTAAGCAGTCTGCATCTTGGGTCCATTTATATTCACACACGGCCTGCCTCGGCACCCCGTGACACAGTTACTGTGAGCACAAAGGCTCATGGGACTGTTAATGTTCAAATAATGAATTAAGTAGTTTTGTGGTCCTCATGTGGTTTCTGAGAAAAGACAAGTTTAACTCGTATCTGCCATGACCAAGATTAGAGTGAATAAAGATTTCCAGCCTGTGTTCAGCTAAGTAATAATCATGCAGTTGTGCAGTTTGTGGGAAATCTCACCTGTGATATTAACACTGCAGAAAAACACTCTTGGGTTTAATGACATTTTTTGATACATTTCGTGAGAAGCGTCCACTTGGATTACATAAACTATTTACTATTCCTGCTGAGTTTGTCTAAATACTTTGTGCGACACACCGTATAACTCACAGTGACTGTGGGAGACTCAGAGGTGGATATCTCACTGGGGGACAGAACACAGCAGGCAGCATGAGCAGCACGACTCCAGCAGTCTTACCTGTCAAGCTCATCAACAGGTGTGCCAGAGCCTCCCAGCCCGCAGTAGCAGCCGTAATCAGCGTAGTCCAGCGCTGGCCAGCTATCGGGTACCGTGCACAGGATCATGGACCTGAACTGCCACAGAGCTCGATAACCCAGCACTACGAGACCCAACAGAGACATGTAGCAGGTTCACATCCCAGAACGGTCTGACATTGCATCAGGCAAAACCAAAACTCAAGCCTCCTGGGAGATTTCCTGATATCAGTTTCACTGAAAGAGAGCTGTCATGACAAATACTTTTAAACTTACGAGCTGGGAGGCCGACGAGCACAATGAGCAGAGAGTGACTCAGATGCATTTTACTGGAGAAGTGTCTCGATGATCTTTGGGGTAAAGCTGTTGTTTTATATTGACCGTCCAACTGAGAGGTGGTCCTGCTTTGACCAGCTGCTGGGACTCATCCAGTCTCTTATTTAATACCTTATACAACATATATGGATCCACATGTATTAATAAGCAATAGGTGCATACACAATCACATGCACATAAGAGCAAGCACAAACACATTAATGCTTTTTATATTTGGTCGATTTTTTTTTTTCTGTTGTGTAACGTTTAATTTCCTTTGATCTTATATGCACACCGAACACAAGCAAAGTGCAACTGAAGGTCATGAGAGCTGTGCCAAATGTTAGCTATTTACACAGGTGCATGTTCAAGTTTTAAT